TGACTGTCACTGTTGATCTTCACTGTCTGTTGCTCAATACCCAGTTCACTGATCAGACCTTTCAACCAGGTGGCCTCCTTTGCTGCCTCAGTCAATGCAACATACTCTGATTTAGTTGAAGACAGAGTTACCATATGCTGCAACTTTGATTTCCAACTGACAATGTTTCCCTACAAAGTAAAAATAAACCGGGATGTAGACTTTCTTTTGTCTAAATCCCTTGCATAATCTGCATCACAGAACCCCTCAACATACTCATCACAACCATGATTTTTCTTAAAAACAATTCCTACTGATTTGGTGCCTTGTAGGTATCTCATAATCCATTTAAGAGCCATCCAGTGAGTCCTTCCTGGATTGCTCATAAATCTACTAAACAAACTTATAGCATAACCTAAATCTGGTCTGGAGCATACCATTAAGTACATTAGGCTGCCCAGTGCACTAGCATAAGGTATCCCTGCCATTTCAAGCTGCTCAGTTTCAGTTTGAGGACTCTGCTCATGTGAAAGTTTCAGGTGAGCACCGAGAGGAGTCTGAACAGGTTTAGCATCCACTAGATTGAATTTCTTCAGAATTTTCTCAGTGTAGTCCTGCTGGACTAACTTTATACTTTCAGAAGCTCTGTTTCTGACAATGGAAACACCAAGAATTTTCTGAGCTTGACCCAGCTCTTTCATTTCAAACCTGGTGTTCAGCAACTTCTTCAGATGACACAACTCAGATTTATCATGGCATGCCACAAGCATATCATCCACATACAGCAGTAAAAAAATGTGTGTCAGTTCTGAGATTCTTTTATAATAAAAACAACTGTCAAAGTTACACCTATTAAACCCTATTTCTATCATAAAAGAATCAAATTTCTTATACCACTGTCGTGGTGACTGTTTCAAACCATACAATGATTTTTTTAAAAGACAAACTTTACCTGTAGCACTGTTGTAACCTTCAGGCTGCTCCATTAGGATACTTTCTTCCAAATCCCCATGCAAGAAAGCCGTCTTCACATCAAGTTGTTCTAATTCTAGATTGAATTGAACTACTAGAGAAATCAGGACCCTAATGGATGTATGCTTGACCACGGGAGAAAATATTTCATCATAGTCAACCCCCTCTACTTGTGTGAACCCCTTTGCAACTAACCTAGCCTTGTACCTAGGTGCATCCTGAATTTTTAAACCTGGTTTTCTCTTGAAAATCCATTTACATTTTACCACCCTACAGTCATTTGGTTTATCAATCAGAGCCCATGTATTATTCTTCATAAGAGAATCAAATTCTTCCTCAATGGCTCTCTTCCATTCCAATTTTTCAGATCCGGAAACTGCCTCTTGGAATGTCTTGGGTTCATCATTCATCTCTTCCTCCACCTGAAGAGCATAAGCCACCAGGTCAGCATATCCCAGTCTACTTGGGGGTCTGATTGTCCTCCTAATCCTATCTCTTGATAACTGATAATCAATCAAATTTGAAGTATCTACACCTGGAGTATTCTGCCCTACTTCATGATCACCAACTGGTTCTTCCTCATGAGTATCTAACTCCTTAACTCCACCTTGATTCAAACTTGGACTAAAACTGGAATCTGTCACTTCTAGTTCTAGGTGTCCAGCTTCTGAATAAGAGTTCTCAGATTCATCAGGTTTGTTTCCTAAGCCAGGTAGGGTATTTTCTCTAAATATGGCATCTCTACTCACAATACATTTCTTAGTTTCTAAATTCCAGAACTTGTAGCCTTTAACCCCATCTGGATACCCTAAGAAAATGCATTTAGTGGCTCTAGGTTTTAACTTTTCATCCTTAGAATGAACATAGGCTAGACATCCAAAAATTCTAAGGTTTTCAAGGTTTACAGGATGACCAGTCCACCTTTCAAGTGGGACTCTAAAACCTATAGCTGATGAGGGTGTTCTGTTTATCAAGTAGACTGCAGTATGGGCTGCTTCTACCTAGAACTTGACTGGAAGTTTGGAACATGATAGGATACTTCTTACCCTTTCTAGAATAGTCCTATTCATCCTTTCACAAAGTCCATTCTGTTGTGGAGTGTGTCTCACTGTCCTATGTCTAACTACCCCATTAATTCTACAGTAGTTATTGAACTCCTCATTAATGAATTCCAAACCATTATCAGTTCTTAGTTTTTTCAGTTTCTTTCCACTTTGCTTTTCAACCATGGTTTTCCATTCCTTAAATCTAGAATAGGTTTCATCCTTGGTTTTAAGAAAGTAAATCCAAACATGCCTAGAGCAGTCATCTACAATACTCAAAAAATACCTACACCCTCCAAGTGAATAATGCCTAGATGGTCCCCATAAATCAGAGTGCACATACTCAACTGGTGAGCTTGAGTAGTGCTGTCCAATCCCAAACTTTACCCTGTACATTTTCCCAAATACACAGTGTTCACAAAAATTCAGATTCCCTGTTTTATCCCCACCTAGTAGGTTTTGTTTACTGAGTTCACCTAAGCCCTTTTCACTAATATGGGCAAGCCTTCTATGCCACAAGGTAGTCTTATCTAGTTCCTCAGTTGCCCTAATATTAGCCTCTCCACTATCAATCCTACCTTTCAAAACATACAGCCCATTTCTTTTTTCAACCTTCATAATAACCAAAGACCCCTTTAAGACACTAAGACTCCAATTAACAGCCTTGTAATTCAATCCTATAGAGTCTAAAGTTCCAAGAGAGATAAGATTTCGTTTTAGGTCAGGGATATACCTAACATCAGTAAGTGTCTTAGTTAATCCACTATGGAGATTCAGCTTAACAGATCCTATTCCCTTAATATGACAGACAACATTGTTTCCCATCACTACTTTCCCACCATCTAAAGGTTGAAATGAGCTAAACCACTCCCTATTAGGTGTCATATGATAGGTGCAACCAGTGTCTAAGATCCACTCATCCCTAGTACTGCCCTCTGAAATAACTAGGACCTCTGAACTCTCATAACCTTCTGATACTACCCCTGCATTGCCTCCATCATCCTCTTTCTCATATTTCTTCTTCTTTCTCTTAGGACAGTCTCTCCTAAGGTGACCCTCCTTATGACAGAAGAAACACTTCCATTTCCCAGGTTTGGACTTAGATCTATGTCTATTTTGCCCTCCCTTTTTCCAATTCTTCTTTTCAAATCTTTCTCTTACTATAAGATCCTCACCATCACTCACATTCTTATCCCTAATTCTATTTTCAGTATCCTTAGCTGAGATAGCTTCTACTACTTCTTCTAATTTCAGAGTCTATCTACCATATTTCAAAGTCTCTACAAAATTCGAATAAGTTTTAGGTAAAGAATTTAACAAGATTACAGCTTGATCTTTATCACCTATTTCAATAGATATACTCTCTAAATCTTGTACTATCTTAAGAAAATCATTCTTATTATCTTTTAGTGACTTTTCTTCATCCATCTTAAATCCAAACAAACTCTGTTTTAGAAATAACCTATTAGGAACAGTCTTAGACTAATAGAGTGAGTCTAACCTGCTCCATATCTCTACAGTAGTCTTCTCTTTCTTGACTTCTCGGAGCACTTTGTCACCCAAGCCAAGAATCAGGGAACTTTTGGCCTTGTTCAGCATGTCTTGTTTTTCTGTGGTGGTTAACGTATCAGGTAGCTCTTCTTCTCCTTTCAGAGCCAACGCCAAGCCTTCTTTAACCAACACTGCCTCCATCTTCATTTTCCATAAGCTGAAATCATTTTCACCTGTAAACTTTTCAAGCTCAAATTTAGTCGACATGTCTTTCTTATGAATCAGAAAAACACTCAGTAATAGGAAAAGAGATCAGTTTTAAGGAAATCCTAAAACACGACTAAAGAACAGAGAAACCCTAACTGGACCTTCAATCAAGCTCTGATACCAATTTGTTAAGATTCAAGGGTTAATGAAAAACTAATTCAGTGGTGAAAATCTAGCAACAGATCATCAATCAAGCTCATGATAGATAGATAGAAACACGAATAGAACAAGACACAGCAAAATTATAGTGGTTCGGCTTTACAGCCTACATCCACTCTCCAAGACTCACACTAGGGATTTTATTATCAATCAAGAGTGTACAATGACAATGATTCCATCAGAACATAAAGGGAAAAAGTAAACAAGGAAGGAACACACCAATTTTGTAAAGCCCTAGTCTCTCAACCCGAAATCTGCTTTCCCTCTAACACCAGCAGGTGTTAAATACACATGCTCTAAGCCTGAGTCATCATCCATCTGTCTCCGATTCTCCATAACCGCAAGGTAACAAGATCAATTCGAGAACCTTCCAAAGGGTTGTGAGTTGTCGAAACAGAAATAGAAAGAATAGAGAAATGGGGTCTGCACAAATAAGAGATAACCCTAAAACATATAGCCTTTTAGTTTTAGTCCAAAACGACGTCGCATAAGAGAGTTGACTTGAACCCTTATGCTGACTTCCACCGTGGCAAATAAGGAGCCACGTCACCACAAACAATTTATTATTGTCTGAGTCTGAAGTTCTTTTATTATAGGGCATATTTATTCAGTCCAAAAAATACAGATTTCCCTGGACTTCTAATGTTAAATTGAATACTGTTTCAATCCTAGACAGGCATCCAATATGTATATCAAGATCACCAATACACGAATGCATTATAAGTTCTTCCAGACTATCATCTGGTGGGTGCTTTTCAGAAACATAATCTGCTCAATGACTAATTTCACACTCAATTTATTGAAACATATGATTAACCAAATACAAGTTTTACTCAGGCCGAAAGAATGACAGACAAGACATTCCAAACAAAAAATAGAATAAAATGCATACAAAAAATTGTTGATTAATAGTTGCCTTAATTAGAAATTAGGTTATGATATACAGTCACAATAGAAATTGTGTAATCAAGATATACAAAGTTCCTACCATGGGATTGAGTCATTTTGCTCTGTATGGATCGATCATATGTCATATTAATTTAAGTACATAAGTTGAGGAAGATAAAGTGAAGGAGGTTGATGAATGAATTAAAAACCCAACATCATCATTCTGACGAATTCCTCGTAGTTAACTTGACCATCACCTTCAAGATCAGCCTCCCTAACCATTTGTTCTACCTCTTCATCTGTCAGTTTCTCCCCCAGGTTCATCATTACATGCGTCAACTGCATATACATACATACTCAGAAGAAACTATTACTATATATTCTGTATCTGTATTTATAAGTTGAGATTTTGAAGAACTGAACCTCATTTGGAGATATGTAACCATCTTGATCCTTGTCAAATACTTTGAAGGCTTCTCTCAATTCCTCTTCCGCTTCACATTCCTATACATAAACCAAGTAATTATATCACTCTTTATCAAAGATTTTTTCCTGTATTTGTAATGAACTGATTAGTTACCTTCATTTTTCTTGCCATGAGATTCAAGAACTCCCCAAGCTCTATAGTTCTATTACCATTCATATCAACTTCATTGATCATGTTATGAAGTTCTTCTTCTATAGGATTTTGATCTAATGATCTAATCGCAGCCACTAGTTCTTTGATAGTAATACAACCTGGGGCCATATATGAACCAATCAGTCAATATTAAGAAAATTATAATCAAGAAATTGCACAAATATAAGAAACTGCACCATCTCCATCCTTGTCAAGTAGGCAAAATACTTGCTGAAACTCAATAATCTGTTGTTCAGGCAAAGCATCTCCCTCTCTCATTTTGCCTTCCTTCTTCAATGAAATTAATTACAACACTTGAGAATTTAAGGGAGAGCTCTAGAGTTCACTTGGAAAATGCTTACAATGGGTTGAATAATTTCAGAGCTATCTATTTATGGTGAAACTTGCCCTTTCTTTAAGTTAGAAAATAGACATCATTTAGTTAAACATGCTTACTAGAAATTTCTTTCTCCGAATTTCTAGACTTCTACGTTCCCAAAAAGAAAAAAATAATATGAAGACTTCAAACTATTTGAATTTTTTTGGGTTGAATTAATATTTCTTAACACGTGTACTTAGGTTAGAAATTAGATTTTTATTATTTGCTATGAAAGAAAATTGAATTTCGTTCTTGCGTGGAAGACTATTGTGCTGTGTTACGTTACTTACGTACAAGAACATCCTATATTGATTTTCACCATTCAGTCATTGAGTCATGGCTGAAAAATAATAAATAACAATATAATGAGTATTAAGTTCCCATCATGGTAAAAAAACAAGATAAGAATCCAATATGATCTCATAAAAAGAGGATCTAATTTAGTTTTCCAAATTCGAATCTCCTTTATGATAAAAGAACAAAAGGAAGATCTAATGTTTTTCCCGAGTTCGAGTCCCCACAACCTCTAATAGGAACTTGGCTTACCAAGATCTTTAATAGTAAACTGAGCATGAAGAAACTTCTTAATAACAAGAATGTCAATTGCAGAAGAACCAGTAATGATGACATCATCAACATATACTAAAAGAGCAAGAAAAGAAGTAGTAGACTTAACAAACAAACAAGTATCATGAGTAGACTGAGTGAAACCATAAGTAAGTAGCTAAGAAGTAAACTCATTATTCCATTGTCTGGAAGCTTGTTTCAGACCATATAAAGATTGTTTCAAATGAAAAACTTGATCTGGTCCAGCTTTATCATGACCATCAGGTGGTAACATATACACTTTTTCATCAAGATAACCATGTAAAAATGCATTATTAATGTCAAGTTGATGAATAGTGTAACGCCCCACCTGAGGTACGTAGTTATTGTTTCCTCTTTCGCTCTTATTTGAGTTGGTTTTGGTAATATTGTTTGATTGAGTGTTGTGTTGAATGCTTGCCCTGAAATTGGTTGAAAATAGAAGAAGTTCAGTGTACCAAGCTTCGCCGGGGCGAAGAAGAATCTTCGCCGCGGCGAAGATGTGTTGAAACCACGGGGGAAACTCTCTGGACAGTTTCGCCGCGGCGACAGGCCGATTAAAATGTTTGTTAAGTTTTAGATATTTTCTTCCCTAAGGGCAATTTGACCATTCTACCCCTAATTAGCAGGAAAAGTGGGGAGTAAAATGTAAGGAATTTTCATGGAGAATATGTTGCTATGGGGGTGTGTTTGTAATGAATCAAAGGATATAGATAGAATTCCCAAAGAAGAGTAAGGGCAAAATGGGAATGCTTGTGTATAAATTTCATTAAAAGGAATTAAGACATTGCAAACCCCTCATTCTTCTTCTCCAACGCCACTTTCCTCTCTTGCTTCCTCTCAATTTCTCTTTCTTTTGATCAAGGAGTTTTAAAGGGCTTTTGGAGTGATTTGGGGTAGAAAATCAACCTAAGGCATCCTAAGGTAAGGATTCTTGCTTTGGTTGTGAAGCTTTGTGAGTTTTTGTATATATTGAATATTGAGGGTTTTTGTTCTTTTGTTTAAGAGTAGAGAAAAAGTCAAGCAAACCAAGTGAAAGGAAGAGTTAGTGAAGTCTCTCCATAACAAGGTAAGTAAACCCCAACCCAAGTTGAGATTTGGGAATTTTCTTGATTAGGGTTTTGATAGCACTTATGTATGTGTGTTATATACATGTTATATGCCATGTTATTGAGGCTTAAATAGAGATTTCTAGTGCTTTGTGATTGTTTATACCTTTCAAATATAAGAAGTGAGTTGTGAGTTGGAAAGGTAGTTTGAGATGGAATTGAAAGGGTATTGTGGAACCCTTTTTGGAAGTGTTTTTATTTGACAGGTTTTGTGGCTATGTGAAGGGGTTTCTCCCCATTTTGGATGGTTAGAGAAAGATTTAGAATCATTGCTATAGTAGAGTTTTATAATGCACTTGAGTTGTTTGATGAAATGCCTAATAGAGGTTTGAGTATGAGTAGTGAACCTTAATTCTTGCAACATTGCATGTTGGCATTTCATAAGTGCATTAGTGGAGATGAACCATCCATAGGCACTAATTGTGCATTGAAAAGTGACCTAAGAAAGAGTAGGAAACTTTGTGTATGCAATTACTCTATGAGTAGAGAACTTGGTGGATGCAACTACTCTAAGGGTAGAGAGAATGAAAAATGCTAGAATAGAGTGAATTAGAAGAGTAGTAGAGATGGGTTGATGCTTTGTGATCATCACCCGACAGTTATGGGAATCGGGTTGATGCTTTGTGATCACCACCCGAATAGCCCTTAGAGATGGGTCGATGCTTTGTGATCGTCACCCGATGAGTAGTAGAAATGGGTAGATGCTTTGTGACCACTACCCGGTTAGTTGTTAGATAAGTGGGTTGATGCTTTGTGATCATCATCCAACATTTAGTAGAAGTGGGTTGATGCTTTGTGATCATCACCCGACAGTGACTAGAGACGGGTTAATGCTTGGTGATCGTTACCCAAAAGTCATGAGAAACGGGTAGGTGCTAGGTGGTCTCCACCCGATAGTTAGGAAAACCGAGTAGGTGCTTTGTGATCCCCACTCGGTAGTCACTAAGAACGGGTTGGTACTGTGTGAATTCCACCCGATAGTCATGGAGAGTGAGATGGTGCTGTGTGAACGCCATCCGGCCGTACCTCCGGTAAGATGAGGCCATGATGTTTAGTAGAAACAGAAATAGTATAAGGAAAGAATTAAGAGTTATACATACGGGGACAGACAGATAGAGAGTTTTACTTACTGAGCATTATTTCGTGCTCACCCCGTTATTTTCCTTTGTGGATGCAGGATCTAGGTGTTGATGCAGTCGGAGGGGCGTCGGCAAGCGAGGAGCAATAGCTACACTGTTTCCCTTGTTTTGTCTTTTAAAAGGAATTTTTGTAAACAATACTTTTTGTGTATACAAGACATATGAATTATAATGAAAAGAAAGTTTTGGGCCCAATTTTCTATTGTTATTATGCATGCATTCTACTAGTTTCAGTAGTTGTTACAAATAGGCTAGAATTTAGCAGTAGCCGCAATAAGAAAAATCCGTACAGTAACCAATTTTGCCATAGGAGAAAAACTATCAAAATAGTCAACATCTTTGACTTGATTGTAACCCTTGGCAACCAATCAGGCTTTATACCTATCAACTGAACCATCTAGATTAAGCTTGATCTTATAAACCCATCGTGAACCAATGACTTTCTTTCCTACAGGTAAAGATGTTAGCTTCCATGTATGATTAGCTCCTAAAGCGTTAAGCTTATTTTGCATGGCCTATACCCACTGATCATTAAGTCAAGCTTGACTATAAGAAGCAGGCTCTTGGACACTAGATACATTTGCCAAGAAGGATATATATGATGAAGTAAAAAGAGCTGACTGTACATATGGAAATGTAGGAGGTGTATATGGTGAAGAAACGGTAGGCTGAGCAGTAGTGGTAAGATCATTAGAGACAAAATCCTCTAACCAAGCAGGGCCTTTGGATATCTTGCTACTGTGTCATATAGGAGGAGGAATAATTGGTAAGGGTGAAGATTCAATAGGAGAAGAATTAGTTGATGAAGGTGATAAAAGGGAAGAAGGTAATTCTGTATGACTAGGAGTAGTAACAGGACTATATTGATGATTTTCAGTAAATCTGAGGTAAAGATGCAGTTGTTGAAGTTGGACTACTCTATTTAAAAGGAAAAGAATGCTCATGAAAAATTACATCCCTAGAAATAAGCACTTTCTTAGAATGAATATCAAACATTTTATAAGCTTTGTGACCAGTGTTATACCCTAGGAAAACACATTTATAAGCTCTGACGGCAAATTTATCTTTACATGGATGTGTGTTAGTAGCAAAACACAAACATCCAAAGGTTATGAGGAAAAAATAATCTAGAGGTTTACACGAAAGTATTTCATAGGGGGTTTTCCATTTGAGAACAAGAGTGGGAAACCTGTTAATGATATAAGTAGCTGTGACTATGGCTTTCCCCTAAAAATACTTAGGTAAAGCTTATTGAAACAAAAGGGATCGAGCTACTTGAAGAAATGTTTATGTTTCCTTTCAACTAATCCATTCTATTGGGGTGTATAAATGCATGATCTTTGATGTAAAATATCATGTTCAAGGAAAGGAATCTGACAATCTTTGCTAACAAACTCAGTGCCATTATCAGTTTGGATTTTTTTAATGGACAAGGAGAACTAATTTTTAATCATTCTAAAAAATGTGGTCAATTTATGAACTACTTGACTCTTATGATTTAAAAGAAAAGTCCAAGTAGCTCTACTGAAATCATCAACTACAGTAAAAAAATAATGTGCCCCTGTAAGTGTAGCTACTTCATAGGTCCCCAAATGTCGATATGAAACAATTCAAAAGTTGTGTGAAATGAGTTGTGCTAGGATGGAAAGGTAATCGATGTTGTTTTGACAATGGACAAACATCACAAATAAAAGTAGCAAAATCAAAATGCTTGATAACAGAAGTTTTATTAAGAATATCATGTGATGGATGACCTAATCTTTGATACCACAAAGTCGATGTTGGAACACTATTAGTGACAAAATAGAAAGTGTTACAAGTATGTGTAGTAGTAGGTAATTCAGACCTAGATACGAACTATGAAGAAAATTTTTAATAGTTTCTATTGTAAAAGAGGATTTATCTAGAATATATAATCTTCCCACGAACTTGCCAACTGCCAATACTACTTCAGTCTGCAGGTCTTGGAAGAGACAGTGAGTAGGATAAAAAAACAAACTTGATGAGTGTGGACTCTAAAATTTTATTTACTGAAAGTAAGTTGAACTTAAAATTTGCAATATGCAAAACCTCATTAAGTGTTAAAGCTAGCAACAAAATGACTTTTCCTATGTGTTGGACAAAATTAATTGATCCAT